AAAAAAAACATGATAATTTTTGGCTCACTGCCATTAATGAATTTGTCCCTTATCACTTGGATAAATTTTTAGAGATTAGACACCCTAAGAATCAAATTGATAACATCTGTCAAGGCAGAATGGTCCATTTTGGAGACCTGAAAAATGAAACTTGTTTAGTCATAGAAGTCAGTACAACAGACATGTGTTCTCTTTGTGTAAGCAGGTGAGGCCACAGCTCTTCATGGACTCAATGCCTTACCTATTCAATTTTTTTTAGGGTGTATGCATGGTTGGACCTCCAGGTACTGGAAAAACGATGTTGGCAAAGGCTGTAGCTACAGAATGTGGTACAACATTCTTCAATGTGACCTCATCAACTTTAACTTCAAAGTATCGTGGTGAATCTGAGAAACTTGTCAGACTACTGTTTGAAATGGTAAGAAGCATATATGATGTTATTAAAAGAGTATTGTAAATTGTAAAATAGGAAGAATTAAAAATAAGGTATTCTTGCATCATTTCATGGAATGGACATGCCAGGAAGATTGAAAGTCTTCTTTAATTTTGGTTTCAAACATTTGGTGTATCTTATGAAAGAACTTGTGGAAAATTAAGTTTGAATTTTGGTATTTTACAGGCTCGATTTTATGCACCAAGTACAATTTTTATCGATGAGATTGACTCAATCTGTAGTAAGCGTGGTTCAGACAGTGAACATGAGGCCAGCAGACGAGTCAAGTCAGAGCTGCTCATACAGATGGATGGTGAGTGAAGTGTTACCTGTGCCACAACTTTTCAAAACTAAACTAAGATATGACAAAAAGATTACTTTTGACAAAAGAGATGTCAGAAAACATTTGTGGAAACATAGTTGGCGTAGTTAAAAGTGTGTGCTGCGGAAAATTCCTTTAATATGTTTGATTGTTAATGTAAGGAGGCCCCTGCTGAAAGTTAATTTTTTGAGTTTTTGATCTTTAAAAAAACTCATCAATGAAACTTGTTTGCACCCTTCATTCATTTACACCCAAAGTAACACTGGTTGAAAGGTTCTTAGAAATGTTTATGTGTGCCTAGCAGTTACTTTGCTTTAACAGTCATATGTCCTGGTATATTTTCATTGTCTCTCTCTCTCTCTAGAAAATTTGTGTTATTCCTCCAATGAATCTCCCTGTGCTGTTACACTGAGACTAAAAGAAGTTCCAGTCATTTGATGAGAACTGTGTTGGTGTCAGAGTGGAAGTTTAAGCTTGACCTTGTTGTAGTTTTTAACGTAACGTTAGCTATGCGGACTCTTTTGGATGTTGAAAGAGTTCTTCAAACCCATTCTTTTGCGACCAAGTGCTCACTAATGCTATTCATGTTTTTTTTTTGTTTTTTTTTTTGTCCAGGTGTTGGGGGTGGTACTGCAGAGAGTGGTCCTCAGCTAGTCATGGTTCTGGCTGCCACAAATTTTCCTTGGGATCTGGATGAAGCTCTGCGAAGGAGGCTGGAAAAAAGAATCTATATTCCACTTCCTGAAAGTATGCTGCAGTATTTACTCTATGAGGTGTTGCGTGTTATTTGCAAATCTTGCCATATTATTGATATTGACACACAGTTTATTTTAACTTAAATCTCTAAAACGAGCTAAGGTCAAACCTGGAAGAACTTAAGCGTTGTGCGTTTATCTGGTTGTTTGTATGTTTGCTTGTTTATTTGTTGTTTACACTTCTAAGACCATCCCCTCTTCAGCATAGAGTTTTTGCATCTTCTTTTTAATTAACCATAGTAATGTTTCCTGACCACACCTCCAGCTATGTAAAACTTTCCGTCATGTGTGCTTTGAGGCCTTCTCCGGTTGTGTACTTTGTCACATCCTGTCTGAATATCCTAAGCTTTAAGGAGGTTTGCGATCGCAGAACTCTACTGTAGTTTTTTCACAACTCAGATGCCGTCGCAATACAACAAATTCAAGTGAAGGAGACATGCAATAACAAAACATAACCATTACTTTTACACCGGAGGTGGCGCTTTTTTTACGAACCTTTTTCTTTGATTTTTTTTTCTCGCTCGGAATATTTTTCCTTTTCAGCTATCGGTCGCCTTGAGTTGCTGAAGATCAACTTACGGGGTGTGAACATGGCTGAAGATGTAATTCTGGAGGAGATCGCGAAAAAGATGGACGGCTACAGTGGAGCTGATATCACAAATGTTTGCCGGTTTGTAACGTATATTGTTGTTACTAAATGTTTTCACTTTTCAGGTTTTTTCTATCAGGATATTAATGAAATAACTTCTTTTTACAGGGACGCTTCCATGATGGCAATGAGACGTCGCATTCGAGGCCTTACTCCGGAACAAATTAAAAATTTGCCAAAGGAAGAACTGGATTTGCCAGTTAACATGGAAGATTTTGGTCTTGCTTTGAATAAAGTGTCTAAGTCCGTTTCCGATGCAGATATCAAGAAATACGAAGAGTGGATGAAAGAATTTGGTTCTACGTGATGCAACCATTTAAAAATTTGTTTGCGGGTTCATAAACGTCCTGGCAATATTGAACGATATGGCAGTTGTCTTGTTTGACAATCTCAGTTCTGTTTTATCCTTGTAGTCAGTGTGCTAATGAATCCGATGGTTAAAGTGTGAAATTGTTGAAATCAGTTCTGTATTGCTAACGATTGTGATAATGAAATGTTTATGAAATAGACTTCGTTGAATTGCGATATCTGTCGCCATTTGTCAGAGCAAAAGATGTGTTCCAGTTTAAATTGGAGACATTTAACTTTATCGAGGTTTGATGTGGGAAAAATATTTCCGATAACCCTTTAACTCCCATGAGTGACCAAGACAAAATTTCCCTTACAATCTCAGCGAAAAATTAAGCAGACAAGTGCCAAGAAAAAATAGATCAATTAGGGGATTATTAGTTCATCCAATATCAAGTTCTCCAAACTAACACAAGAATTGTAGGACAGACAGTAAGAAGGATTGTTAATGAGATCTCGGGAGTGAAAGCGATAATTGGGAAATTTTACTCGACTTATTGTCAGTTAGTGTCGTCACATAAGAGAAAAATGCCATTTTCCATTCCTATGTTACTTCAATTAATTTTCCTGAATTACCTTTTATTGATAAGACACACCGTAAGAGATTTCTTATCATTAAAACCCTCATCACACCCTTCACCTCAACTTAGATACGATAGCAGACAACTTAATACAGAAATATGGTGTACAGTACATGAAAATGAGCTTAATTGGTTCCTACTTACGCTTTCTAGTCCTATTCCCTCAGTTAAGTATGACCCTAACTTAAACGCTGTCCAATTACATACACTGATTAGAATAAGCCCGACACCTCAATAGCGATTTTCACCACTGTTATCCCTAACTGAAAAAATTGCAGTTCTTCACTCGAGTCCTTCCTCGCCATCCACAGTCATGAATTTTGCGTACATCCGTAGGCCGCACATTGAGTTACTTTCCCCGTCTCTTCGTCACACAGTCAGCTATGACGTCCTTGATGGCCTGCTCACCCAACAGAGTGTTGAATTCTGTCAATGCTGACAGACGATCAAAAGGCTTTGTAGGATAATGAAAGTTGAACGTGCTGTAATAGTTATCAGGATCTTCAAACACGGAGAACTTTGCAAACTCCTTTTCTTCGGCAGTTTTGCGAGGAACTCCTGAGGATAAATAAAACAATGTAAGGCGTTCAGCGCTAGTTCGTATAATCCGATGTGCCTACAAAGATTTTCGGAGAAGAAAGGACGTACATTGCCTAAGATAGGAGAACGAACTGCGGTCCCGCTTCAACATGAAAAATCTATGGTGAGTCGACAAAATAATTTCAGATTCATTTAGCCGTCACTGATCGAGGGTGCAATTGGTGCGGAGAAAAAATAAGCGTTATGAGGAAAAAAGGAGGAAACAAAAGCAAACGCAGCTTTGAACCTTGTGAAAAATCACTAATTTACACATAACTATAAGTCAAATATCCGCAGAAACCTGGTTTGCTTTGTTCCTTGAAAGTTTTGTTGACGAGAGGAAAATGCACCACAACTGGACAGGTAGGATCCGCGGGATCTGTGAACACGTAATACTCTTTGATTCCGTCCGTTTCCAACTGTTCCTTGGCGTTAATTGGAGGGAACTTCAAATTGTTTGCTTTTGCCCATTGCTCTGCCAAATACAGCTCCTAAAAAAGCGAAATATGAGTTGGATGGGACTGAATTTAATAGTTCAATCCCTGAGCTGAGAACTTAAGCTAGATTTTGTAGGTGCAAATTATGGTTCCAAATATAATAATTCCTACGAGGAAAAAGATAAATAAGTTAGCCTTTCCTTGACCCTTTCACTCCCAAGATCTCATTGGTATTTCTCCTTTCTACCTGCCACGCGATGCTTGTGTCGTTAGTTTGGAGAATTTGATATTGGATCAACTTTTAATCCCATAATTGATAGCTTTTCATTATTCTCATCACTTGTCTCCCTGATATTAAAAACAGGAATTCTGTTTTAGTCCTTCATAGGAGTTAAAGGGTTAAGTGTCGAAAATTCAGTATTTGTTTTCATTAAACCACGGATGAACCAGGCGGAGGGATCCCTGATTAGACTTTGTCGATCGAACGCGGTAGTATACACTCCCTGTCATAAATCTCATCAACTTAATAATAATAATGATACTAATAATAATAATAATAATAATAATAAAAATAAAACAATTAAATCTGCTCAATTACATTGAAAGAAAGCTCGTTGTCCTTCTCTCGAGCACTGAAGTCAAATGACAGAAAAATGTCGACATTCCGCTGAGGTCTGAGTAGAGGCGGATATGGTGAATTGAACAAGAGCCCGCTGTCAACCAAGTAAATGCGTTTAGCCTTAACAGCTAAATGGTCAGCGGTGTCAGCAACCTCTTTAACTTCTGTAAAAAAAAAACAAACAAACAAGTAGTATCATAGGTAAAAGGGGTAACTTTCCACAGAAACTGTGGTGTTGCGTTGGTGGGGTGGGGGGTATTAACTTGGCTTAATGTCATTAAAGAATACTTTGAAGGTAACACTGCAATAAAAATTTTAAGCACCCTCTGCAAATTGCAGTCTATTAAATAATAACTGAAGAAATAAAAAAAAAAGATAGAAATAAAAAAATGAAGATAAAACTAACCAGGTTACTCACCGGCCGAAGGGACGGGGGCGGTCATCAATTGAAGGCCGCGTAAAAAGTTGTGCACCAGGCCTGCTCGACCAGATCGCGTTTTAAGGAAGGATATTTTTTCCACGAAGCTTTCCGCTATACTCTTCAGGAAGCCTGGGTCTCCAGAGTCCTCATCTTTCAAATCCTTCCCATCCATAGCACCGATGTCCATTTCATCGTCGCTTTCTTCGTCCTCACTCATGGGGTCGATTGAAACATCTGTCTCTATTGAGGAAAAGATAGGACAAGTTGCCAATTAGTATGTACGTAAACTTGTCTAAATCCTCTTAACAAATGACCAGACAATAATTACTTACGTAACTCTTGTCTCAAGTCGCCAGAGTTGCTCATGTTTTTTACTGTGTCGGTCGGTGACTGGCCTTCGTTCAGAACTCGCTGAAGCATAATGGTGAAAGCACTACCCCAGATGCCTAGAAAGAAAGCGAAATGGTGCATATCTTTTTAGCCTTGTATATATGAACGTATGACAATAACATGATAAATTCTAAGTGTTTTCACCTTTTGCATCAGCGTCAAAGTAAAGAGAGAAACTTCAGCTACTTACTTCAATTAAAAGAAAACTAATCGCGAAACGTATAAGAAAACAATCTCCCTCAAACTCCTTATTTTAATTTGATGATGTTGTAAGTTTTTGCCCAATGAATTTTACATCCCACGACACGTGCTGTGCTTGATCAGTGCTTACCTTGCAAGTAAAGCAGTGGAGGCTCAGGGTAAGGTGTTACCAATTTCCCACAAAAGTACTTGCTTCCAAAATTCTCAGTCTTCATAAACGTGCCATATTTTGTCATCCCTACTTCATAAGGGCTGAATTCGAGCCATTCTACAGGTAGAGGAAACAATCTATCAGTACACAAAATGTTTGATTATCCAGGGGTTTTAGATGATAATTGAAAGATGAATTTAGATGTATTTATTTTAACCTGCTATAAGGTACCCATCTTTGATGTGGGCGTAATTAGAGGAACTAAGGAGAGTGAATAGTCTTAGGCAGTATGTTCTCCTTAATAATAATAATATTCTTTCTGATTTTCTTACCGCAAAAGTTCTGTGCAACTTCGTTCTTCTTTACATGCAGACAGGTGTACAGTGGCATTGGAACCGCGGCGTCTTTCACTGCATGGCGCTGTTCGCTCAATTTTGGAACATTTTTCCGCTTTAAAATAATAGAGAACATTTTAAGAGATCTCACGATAGAAATAAAACTCTTTTTTTCAAATGATGAACTTGTGAACATTATTGCAGGAAATGAAAATGTCAAAACTTGCGTAATAATCAAATGTGTTTCGTTGGACAATAGAAGACTTAATTTAGGAGTTTATACCAGAAGATTTCAATTGTAGCTTGCATTTATGCACAACGCAAATAATAGACCTATTTTCGAAGTTATGCTCATTAGGAAGCAAGCGGGATGTATTCGCACGGTGTTATTAAGGTGTTGCGCGTGCGCGACATTTTCACAGGAGTACACTTATCAAAACTTAGGCCTATTTCAGTCTAATTATAACTCACCTCGAGAAGGAGCAAGTATCAAGGATGCTTGAAAGAGAGGGATCTGGGTACTTACGTCCTTCAGAATAGTTTCTCCAACCAGATAACCAAAGAAATCTGTGAA